GCTGGGCACATATGCATGCATGCCCAAAACCCCGAAAGGAGAATGTAGGAGAAGGGACTGCAGCCTGGCCATCTCCTCTTGGGGGAGGGGGATGTTAATTTCTCATTTTCCCTCTCTCTGTTTCTCTCCAGCAAGCGTACACACCCTATGACAAATAACTTAAAAATTAAAAAAAGAAAAAAAAAAACCACAAAGATATGCTATTAGAAAAAAAAAAAAGAAAAGGAAGGAAGAAAGAAAAGATTGGGTGTTAAAAAATTGTTTTTTTTTTTTTTTTTGGCAGAGGTTTTTTGCTATGGGGCGCATGTGCTTGCCAGAAAGAGAGAGAGAGACAGAAAGCGAGAAATCACCCCCAGGGGAGATGGCGATGCTACAATCCCTTCTCCTCCACTCTCCTCTCGGGATCTTGGGCACGCACGCACATGCGCCTGGTGTGATTAAGCCACCGGGCCTGGGACTTGAACTGTGGTCAGCTATGTGGGAGTCCAGCGACACAGCTATTACGCTGTTAGTCCCTGGAGAATCATTTTTTCAGTTCATTCATTTATTTTAATTTGACCAGAGAGAGAGAGGGAGTGAGAAGCAAGCCACCAGGTCTAGGACTTGAACCTTGGTAGACCGTATGGGAGTGTCCAGCACCTTAACTACCATGCCACCTGCTGGTCCCGCTGTTGGAGGATTTTCAGACTGATGATCTCATTTTAGTAAGCTACTGACCAAGCCATATGACTGACTACAGATCGCAAGGTTCTTCCAGCCTAGTGGACCTGAAAGACCGGGTGTGTGCACAGGTGCCCAAGACCCTGACATGCTGGAGGGCTGGAGGGGTCAGGTGTGACTCGCCTCGTCCTCATGCCTGTGCACATGCTGTCCCTTATGAACGGTGCCCTCTATATGAACAACGGTAAATAAACTTTGTGCGAGTTAACCGGAGGCGGGGTCCGAGGACAGTCTTGCAACTCTTACTGGCATGTAAATACCTTCTTTGAAAATAGCTTTGGCTTTTTTTTCTAATTATAATTTAATTCACAAGCACTGGTAGAAATTTAGAAAGTATAGAAAAGTGTAAAGGGAAAATTGTTACATTTCCATCAGCACTAGCATTTTTATAGCTTGGTGAGTTTCTTTCTAGTCTTTTATTAAGGAATACATGTAACGGCCAGCAGGTGGCGTGGTGGTTAAGGTGTTGGACCCCACCTGGGAGTCCCCGACCTGGCAGCCTGCTTTCTCACTTTGCCTCTCTCTATCTCTCTCTGGTGAGCACACATGCGCTGTAGCAAATTTAAAAATAAGAAGAATAATAAATAAAATTAAATAATTTAAAAAAATGTAAGTATTTGCCACTTGTATTGATTCAAAAATGACTCGGTAGGGGCCAGCAGGTTGCGTGGTGGTTAAAGGTACTGGATTCCCACATGGCCGTCCGCGGTTTGAGTCCTGGACCTGGTGGCTTGCGTGCGCTCTCTGTCTCTCCTTCTGTGGTCAAGTTGAAATAAACAAATGAATAAAAATAAAGAAAGAATTACTTACTAAAAGGAAACAACTCTGGAGGTAGTTTGGGTTCTGCTCTCTACATTCAGCGCTATCTTTGGTCTCCCGGGTTTGGAGCTCGTGCTGTGTGGGTGACTTCCGTGTCAAATCTGTGTTGAAATCCCAACGTTGTCATGGTAGACCGTGTGGCCCTGGGTAGGCACTCCTCCCGTGTCCCTCCCCTGGAGGGGCCCTCATCCTAACCACCCTGGGCTGAGTGGGGGTTATAGAGCACAGGCAAAGCCCTGGGGACATAACCCAGTTCTTGGGAAGTGCCGGAAAGCACAAGTTGGTGTGTTATTTTTGTTTAAAATAGTCTTCAGAAACCTGTTTTCACTGACATTGAACCAGATGAAATAATATAAAGATAAGAAAAACAGTAAAGGAATGCATTGTTCATGCCAGAATAAAAATACTAAAACCTTCTCTATAAGAGAACAATAGAAATGTTTTCTCAAAAAAGAAAAACGAGGAACGTACATTGTGGTGGGGCAGACGCTCCTAGCAGGCTTCCACTCTGGCTGCACGGCTACCACGCACTGGCTAAACTGGAAGCAGCTCACTTGAACGTGTTAAACTTTACCAAGGATGGTAGACATGCTAAAATGGCCCGTCGTGGCCCAGCGCGGTGCGTTTCCACAGGAGGGGGCCAGAACTGTTGCCACGTGCCTCCTCCAGCCTCTTCCCTCACTGCCTGGAAAGTCCCTCTCTCCTGGGAGCACTGTCACCACTGGGCATTTCCCCTGCCTTTCGCATTTGTTACGCCTGCTGCCCTGCGCTGCGCCGTCCGTGTGCTCTGCCCAAGTTGTGTGCGTTCATTCTTCTCTGCATCCTTGCTCAACTGGGGATTCTGCCAGGGAACTAGGCCCTAATGTCCCTCGTATGTGGTTGAATTAATTTCTCCCCTGTGCAGCTAGGGTAGTAGTGGCCATGGGAAATCCTGGGAAAATTGAGAAGACAGTCCCTTATCATTTCTATAGGGCTTAATCCCCTCACAGGACTTTGTGAGCCTTAGCGTCTCTGGGTTTACTGCTCAGCAGCTTTCCCTGCCTTCCGCCATCAGGTGACCCTGTCCTTCTCTTTGGCTTTCCTCCAGTTCCCCTTGGGAGAGCTGGGAGAGCTGGCCAGCTGCAAGCTCCGCCCTCCCACTGGGAAGGGGCAGCCCAGCAACAGGCCTCAAATGCATTGCTGAGCTCCTAAGGAAATGCCGAGATTCCTAGGGGCCCAGGAAAGGGAAGAGGGAGCTGAAACCCCAGTGGGTAGAGGGACAGGGAGGTCAGGGCTGCCCTGAGGCGTTGCAGGAACCAGGACCCAGAGCCTTCCACTTTTAACAGCTGCCGAAGAGAAATTGGGACTGAAGCCTTGGACCTGAGCTTGGAACTACTCCCCTCTCCTTCCCAGCCAGTAATCTAGACTCAAAGAGCTATGCTTTGGGGCTAGGAAGTGGAGTCCTCCCAAAGGCGACAAAGTGTGTTGCAGTTCTCTGAGGGTGGAGAGGAGGACAATCCCTTTTGTCTGCAAGAGGTCTGAGCCAGAGCTGCGCCTACTGGCCTTTGGTGCTTGCCCATAGACTACCTTTGCTGTCTAGGAGATTCCAGATCTGGAATCATGTAAAGAAAAAGCTGCACACTCATTGAAGATATGGCCATTTTAGCACATAATTCTTTTTTTTGGGGGGGGAGAGTTGTTTTGTGCTATAGGGTACATGTGCTCACCAAAAAGACAGAGACAGAGAAACAGAAAGCGAGAAACCATCCCCGGGGGGGGGATGGCCACACTGCAGTCCCTTCTCCTCCATTCTCCTCCTGGGATCTTGGGCACGCACGCACACACACCTGGTGTGAATTTAAGCCACCGGGTCTGGGACTCAAACCATGGCCAACTATATGGGAGTCCAGCAACGTAGCCACTATGCCCATTTGCTGGTCCCCAGCACATAATTCTTACTATTAACACTCAGTGCTTATGCACATGTGAGAGTCTTTGCAAAACCCTGGTTGTCGCCGAATTCATTATACCCTTGTCCTTTGGGCCTTCCAGTTACTCAGTTAGGACTGGATTCATGATGCTGATGTGGGGTATGTTCAGCCAAGCTCAGGATTATCCTGTATCCAGAAGATTTTGTCTCCACTTATCTAATTCCTGGGGTTCCTTTTGCATGTGGCTTTGTTCCTTAAAACCCTATAATATACTGTATCATTTTAAAAAAGATTTATTTAATTTTATTTATCATTGTTTTAAAATTTTGCTGTAGGGCCGTGTGCTCACCAGAAAGAGAGAGAGAAGGTGAGAAAGCAAGCTGCTAGGGCCGGTTCTAGAACTGTGGTCCAGCATGTGGGAGTCTAGCACCTTAACCACTATGCCACTGCTGGTCCCTACTGTATCATTTTTAGGCACAAGTGAATCCTAGTATAAAATTCAATGATGGGGGAACCAGCAGTTAGCGTAATGGCTATGTCACTGGACTCCCACGTAGTCGACCGCGGTTCGTGTCCCGGACCTGGTGGCTTAAAACTCACACTGGGCACGTGTGCGTGCGTGCCCAAGATCCCAAGAGGAGAATGGAGGAGAAGGGATTGCGGCATGACCATCCCCCCTAGGAGGTGATTTCTCGCTTTCTGTCTCTATGTCTCTCTCTGTCTGTCTGGTGAGCGCACGCGCCCTACAGTGAAAATCTCTCAAAAAAAAAAAATTCAATGATGGAAAGTTAGTGTGCAGAGCCACTTTTCCTCCTCAGTGGAAGGTGCCCGGTGTGAACTGATAAGATTGGTATGTTTGTGTTCTTGGGCTACTTTGCCCCCATATATTGAGTGCCTCCTGGCCGCCAGGCATTGTGAAGAGGACTAAAACATGGTCCCTTCTGCCCTGGAATTCGCGTTCCAGCTGACCGCCGAGTTTGCCCGGAATCCATACAAATGTGCCGCAATGAATTGAGTCCATTGTGTGCTGCCCTCTGCAGAACTGTTGCTATCCTGTGAATTTCCAACCAGTCGCCTTCAGCTCTTGGAGGAAGATGAGTTACCACAGCTATGTGTATGAGGGGGACTTGAGAACACTTGTGGAGAAATGGAATTAAAGTAGGAGTTTATTTTGATACACAAAAAAGAAATTGAAATTCATGCATAGTTTTTTCCTGACATGCATTTTCCATGATCTTTTTGTTATAAAAGAATTATTTCATTGTATTTATTTTATTAGTAGTAATTTTCAGTTTGACCAGAGAAAACAAGCCACCAGGTCCAGGACTCGAACCACAGTCGACCATGTGGGAGTCCAGCACCTTAACCACCATGCCACCTGCTGGTCCTTTCCATGAGCTTTTTGAAGATCCCCTCAGGTCGTTGAGTATTTGTAAACATTGGCTGGCCAGCAGGCAACTAGATACTTTGATTTTCCAAGCAAATGAGCAGGTTGAATAAGGAAAATGAACGTTTCCATGTCACTGACTTCACCGCTGCCCATCTCCTCAGGCTGATGTGAGGCACAAGGTTCATCTGAACACTTTCGGATTCTTCAAGGATGGGTACATGACGGTTAATGTCAGCAGCCTCTCCCTGACTGAGCCTGAAGGAGCCACGGCCAAGGATGCCATGGTGAGTCCCTTCGAATGGAAGGAGAGGGGTTACCGTGGTAGCTGACTGCAAGGCTCACCCCCGCCCCCGGTGCCTACAGAAGGTATCAGGACATGGAGAAGTTGAAGTCGTGTGCACCAAATTGTATACTAGGCCTCAGACAGTCTCACTCTAACGCCTGGGTTGTGCTTCTTTCGTAGTTTCAGGAATTAACGACTCTGCTTGAGCATGTGGTGCCTTCTTACAAAATGAACGCTAAGAGCATAGAGGAAGCCGGGTCGGGAGGATCGCGGGGGCAGTCGTGGTCGTTTACCTCCACTCTTTTTACTCCCCATAGATCGGATTCAGCCTTGAGCGCACAAAGAATGACGGCTTCTCTTCCTACCTGGTAAGCCGTGAACGTGGGACCTGGTCACTGTCTTCACGGCAGGCCAGGGCACCGGGAGGGAACCGTGTCCTCGAGGGAGCAGCTGCTGCGACTTCCCAGTGCCATTGGGCATCCGCAGTCGTTCACGGAAGTGGATCCACTCGGATGTCTTCCCTGAAAACTTGCTGTCGTTGTTCTAGGGGCATGAGTAAGGCGGTGTTCTTCCTTTCTCAGGATGAAGACGTGAATTACTGTATTTTAAAGAAACAGTCTCTGTCTGTCACCCTTCTCATCCTAGACATCTCCAGAAGTGAGTAAGTAACACCAGTGTTCATTTCAGCCCTAGAGCAAAGATAGAACTTGTAGCCAGCCAACACTCGATGAGGGCTGTCAGTGCCAAGCACTGTGCTGTGGGTGAGAGGCAAATCAAGGGCTGGCCCCATGGCCTAGTGGTTAAGAGAGCCACAACCCATATGGCTGAATGCATGGTTCAAATCCCAGCCCCAGAGGCTTAAAACCCACACTGGGTGTGTGTCTCTCTGTGTGTGTGTGTGTGTCTCCCAAATCCCCATGGGATGGAGAAATGGAGAAGGAGTTGTGTGACCATGCCTCACAGGACATGCTTCCTCTGTCTGCCCCTCTGTTTCTCTGCCGAATCCACAAACCCACTGGCAAATTAAGAAACAACACAAGACAAAAGGCATGATGTTGGCTATGGAGGTCCCACCTTGAGGGGTTTCTGTGGATGAGTCGGGGAGACAGAGCAGCAGCCCCACGGCACATAGGGGAGCCCCGGGAACGGTGGGAGGGAGGGAGGGAAAGGCCTCAGGTAGGTGACAGCTCCCCAAGCCTTCTGTGATTGGGCTTTTTTTTTTATTATTATTATCATCATTTGGAAAGGTTTTTTCCTATAGGGCACGTGCACTCGCCAGAAAGAGAGAGAGACAGAAAGACAGAGAGAGACAGAGAGACAGAAAGCGAGAAATCACTCCCCAGGGGGGATGGCCACGCTGCAGTCCCTTCTCCTTTCTCCTCTTGGGATCTTGGGCACGCACGCACATGCATCTGGTGCGTGAGTTTAAGCCACCCGGTCCAGGACTTGAACCACGGTTGACTACATGGGAGTCTAGCTACATAGCCATTACAATAACTGCCGGTCCCTATTATTATTTTTTTAATAGAGATTTTTGCTACAGGGCATGTACGCTCACCAGATACAGAAATAGCAAGAAATCACCCCCTGGGGGGATGGCCGTACCACAATCCCCTCTCCTCCATTAAGCTGGGGCCCGGTTCACTGTCTTCACGGCAGGCCAGGGCACCGGGAGGGAACCGTGTCCTCGAGGGAGCAGCTGCTGCGACTTCCCAGTGCCATTGGGCATCCGCAGTCGTTCACGGAAGTGGATCCACTCGGATGTCTTCCCTGAAAACTTGCTGTCGTTGTTCTAGGGGCATGAGTAAGGCGGTGTTCTTCCTTTCTCAGGATGAAGACGTGAATTACTGTATTTTAAAGAAACAGTCTCTGTCTGTCACCCTTCTCATCCTAGACATCTCCAGAAGTGAGTAAGTAACACCAGTGTTCATTTCAGCCCTAGAGCAAAGATAGAACTTGTAGCCAGCCAACACTCGATGAGGGCTGTCAGTGCCAAGCACTGTGCTGTGGGTGAGAGGCAAATCAAGGGCTGGCCCCATGGCCTAGTGGTTAAGAGAGCCACAACCCATATGGCTGAATGCATGGTTCAAATCCCAGCCCCAGAGGCTTAAAACCCACACTGGGTGTGTGTCTCTCTGTGTGTGTGTGTGTGTCTCCCAAATCCCCATGGGATGGAGAAATGGAGAAGGAGTTGTGTGACCATGCCTCACAGGACATGCTTCCTCTGTCTGCCCCTCTGTTTCTCTGCCGAATCCACAAACCCACTGGCAAATTAAGAAACAACACAAGACAAAAGGCATGATGTTGGCTATGGAGGTCCCACCTTGAGGGGTTTCTGTGGATGAGTCGGGGAGACAGAGCAGCAGCCCCACGGCACATAGGGGAGCCCCGGGAACGGTGGGAGGGAGGGAGGGAAAGGCCTCAGGTAGGTGACAGCTCCCCAAGCCTTCTGTGATTGGGCTTTTTTTTTTATTATTATTATCATCATTTGGAAAGGTTTTTTCCTATAGGGCACGTGCACTCGCCAGAAAGAGAGAGAGACAGAAAGACAGAGAGAGACAGAGAGACAGAAAGCGAGAAATCACTCCCCAGGGGGGATGGCCACGCTGCAGTCCCTTCTCCTTTCTCCTCTTGGGATCTTGGGCACGCACGCACATGCATCTGGTGCGTGAGTTTAAGCCACCCGGTCCAGGACTTGAACCACGGTTGACTACATGGGAGTCTAGCTACATAGCCATTACAATAACTGCCGGTCCCTATTATTATTTTTTTAATAGAGATTTTTGCTACAGGGCATGTACGCTCACCAGATACAGAAATAGCAAGAAATCACCCCCTGGGGGGATGGCCGTACCACAATCCCCTCTCCTCCATTCCCTTCTCAGGATTTTGGGCACGCATGCATACCCAGTATGAGGTCCCCCCCCAATTATTTAATTAATTTTATTTATTTTTTCATTCATTTATTTTAATTTGACCAGAGAGAGACACGGGGGGGGAGTATGTAGGGAGAGAGAGAAAGAGAGAGAAATGGAAAGCGAGAGAGCAAGCCACCAGATCCAGAACTCGAACTGTGGTCGGCTATGTGGGAGTGTCCAGCACTTTAACCCCCACGCCACCTGCTGGTCCCCACCTTGTATGAGTTTTAAGCCCCAGGATCTAGGACTCAGACCGCGGTCGGTCGACTATGTGGGAATCCAGCAATGTAACCATTACGCCATCTGCTGGTACCCCATGATTGGGCTTTTACCAAGTGAGTAAGAAAGGGAAGAGCTTTTGGGGCCGAGGGAACAGTCTGTACAGAGGCATAGTAGCTTGAAATAGCGTAGTGTGCTCAGTGAGCCCAGGTCATTATTGACAAAGAGCCGAGACAGAGCTCAGCTGCAGTGCAAGCAGTCGGGGCCACCATCACCGCGGCACGAGCAATGGGCTGCCACTGTGCCAGGTGAGGGCTGCATGGGAGGTCCAGCTTTGGCTCCTGGACTGACCAAAGTAGGCCAGGCACAGTGGCGTGTGCCTGTATCCTAGCTCACGAAGAGGACTGTGATACAGCAATCTCCCCTCTCTTCCACTTTCTCTTTCTTCTCTCTTCACAAAAAAAAAGAAAACAAAACCTGCTTTAAAAAAAAATGACTGGGTCCAAATTATGACTCCTGCTATTCACTAGCTGTGTGACAGGGGTCACAGTGTCTTTATCTGCTACACAGTAATAGTATCACAATGTCTTTATCTGCTGCACAGTAATAGCATCTATCTCGTAAGATTGTTGGAGAACCTTTTTGGCAATTCAGTCTTTTAAAAATATTAGAACAGCAGATTGTGTAATGATTATGTTGCTGGACTCCCATATGGCTGACCGTGGTTTGAGTGCCAAACCTGGAGGCTTGAAACTCAGGGTGTGTATGTGTGTGTGTGTGTGTGCGTGCACACACGTGCGTGTGTGCATGCATGCCCAAAATCCCTAGAGGAGAATGGAGGAGAAGGGATTGTGGCATGGCCATCACCCCTGGGGGGAGTGATTTCTCATTTTCTGTCTCTTTGTCTCTTTGGTGAGCACACACACCCTATAGCAAAAATCTCCCCTGTCCCCCCAAAAATATTTGAACACAAATGAATGATAGGACTTTGTGATTTTTCAGTTCAGCATTTTCCACCTTGCCTCTTTACAAGTCCCTCATGTGTTCTTTCTAAGGAGGACTTCAAAGGGCTTCAAGCTAGGAATAATGTGCTCATACTTGCCTTTTTTTTTTTTTTCCTAAGTTTTGCAAGAGATTTATGTACTCATTGGGGAGAGACAGAGAGAGCGCGCGCGAGCATCCCCTTGGGGCATGGTCACACTATAACCCCTCTTACCCCAGTCTCTCTCTTCTTTTAGCATTTTGGGCATGAACACACACACATTATTATTTCTGATTTGGCCAGAGAGAGACAGAGGGGGAAGGAGAGTGAGAGAACGTGAGAAAGCAAACCGCTGGGTCTAGGACTCTTAACTGTGATTGGCCATGTGGGAGTCCAGCGCCTTAATCACCGCGCCGCCTCCTGACCCCAAGATTGGCTTTAAGGTTGGCCACTAGCTATCCAGAAGAGGGTGGATTTGAGATGAGAAAGAATGGACACTGTATGGTGTGTCCTTGACAGAGACAGAGAGAGAAATGAGGACAGTGAGAAAGCACCCCGGGGAGACGGCATCCTACAGTCCCTTCTCAACTCTCCCCTGGGGATTTTGGGCACACATGCACATATGCCTGGCATGTTTTTCAAGCCACTCAGTCTGGGACTCGAATCACATACTTAGCTATGGGATCTAGCCATCTTAACCTCTGTGCTCTCTGCTAGCCCTTTCTCTTCAGGAAAAAAACATGCTTTGTTGTAAAACTGTTAGATTCTAACTCTATAAATGTTCTCCACGATAATCCGTTTTCACGTAAGAAAGTTAGTCTGACAGTCTTTTGTATTAGCTAGGATGCTTTGGCATCAAGCAACAAAAGACTTGGATTGGCTTAAACAGTGGCTGAAAGTCCAGCGTTGGGGCAGGTGGGCTTCAGGTGGGAGGACGGCAGTGGCTTACTCACACGAGGGACTCGGGTGCTTCTCACCTCTCTGCTCTGCCCTCCGCGATGTTAGCGTGTCCCTCAGGCAGGGTTACCGAGCCAACACCAGATGGTTCAGCTTCGTCGTTCATATCCAGCCAAGGTAAGGTGGGAGGCTTCTCTCCAAGTCAGGATGAGAAGCTGCTTGAGTGTGCCAGCTTAGGTCACCTGTCCACTCAGGCATGGAGAACGTTCCCCACCTCTTCAGCATGAGACGGAGTAAATACAGTTAGGTCTGTTAGGAAGGAGGAAGGGCAGAAGTGGGTATTAGGCAAGCAGCTGCTGGAGGCTACTGCCCTCAGCTGCCCTAGACTCCACTTGAAGTGCTCACTGGTTTTTCTCCTCTCATTCTGTTTCTCTTGTGCACCAATTTGCTGAGCATATTAAGGATGCTTAGGGGAAACTACGCCCAGCAGAATCATGTGATTGTTAAGAACTTGAGCTTTAGGGTGAGACCGTTTGAATCCTTGCCAGCTACTTACTAGCTTGATGCCCTTGGGCACGTTATATAATCTTTCTGAACCTCAGTTCCAGCGTCTGTAAAATATGGATAATATTAATAGAATCTGTGTTGTAGGACTTTGTAAGGACTATGCAAGTCGATGGATTGAGAGCATCACACAGTGCCTAGCACACAGCACTTAAATGGCTAGTAGCACCACTTTGAACTTTCCCATTCTATCTCGAATGAAGGGTACTAATGAAGTCTCCACCAGAAGCCGGTACCCAGTTACCAAAGATCATCTTCGGCAAGGATGCGAAGACCTTTGGCCAGAGCCAGGAGCCTAATATTATCCCTGTGCCAGCAGGCAACCAGACACAGAACAAGCCAGGTAAACTGTAGAGCGGAAGGTAGCATTTACTGTTCTCTACCCTGCTTTGGAGCTCCTGTTTCCTTCCTAAGTAAAAGCAAATATGATTTCTGTTGTTGTCTTAGCATTGTTATATTTTGGAGGTTATACAAAAATACATAACTTAAAAGCGTGGAAAATGTGGAGAAGATGGAAAAAGAACAGTTATTTCTCCTTATTTCAGTTTTAAAACTTTAGTAACTTAAGTTTCCGTAAGCTTGTGTCCTAAATCTAGACATTTAATTTTTTTAATTTACATTTATATTTATAATTTTATATGCATGCTGTTCAACTTTAAAGTATTTTGTAGCTATTGAATATCTTAATAAGTAGATACTGTAATTTGCCCAACTTTTCTCCTTAAGGGGATACATTTGTATTTTAATACTGTTATAAATATTGCTACATTGGACTTCTCTATTATATCTATAATACTTTCTTTAGGATGGGTTCCCAGAATTGGAATTTCTAGCTCAAAAGATAGAAATACTTTAGAAAATATTGATGCATGTTTTTAAATTCTTTCCCAAGCCAGTTATGTAAATTTATATTCCTGTTAGAAATGTGTAGGAATAGTGTACACATCACAATGTCCTAGCCAATGGTGGATAATTTTTATGTAATCCTAAATGAAAGAAGAAAATGGTATTCTTTTTTCTTTAGAATATGTATGTATATATTTATTTTATTTTTGTATTTATGTTTAACTGTCATAAATTTTTACGGCATACAATATGATTCTTTTTTTTTTCTTTTTGGAGAGGTTTTCACTATAGGGCACGTGCGCTCGCCAGACAGACAGAGAGAGACGGACAGAAAGTGAGAAATCACCCCCCCGGGGGGATGGCCACGCCGCAATCCCTTCTCCTCCGTTCTCCTCTCAGGATCTTGGGCACGCACGCACACGTGCCCAGTATGAGTTTTAAGCCACCAGGTCTGGGACACGAACCGCGGTCGACTACGTGGGAGTCCAGCAACATAGCCACTACGCTAACTGCTGGTCCCTACAATATGATTTTTTAAAGCATGTGTTCAGTGTAATAATCAAATCAGGGATGTTACTGTATACGTCATTTTCCACATGGAACTTTACATTCTTATGTCTGTTAAGTGTTTTGCTGCGCCTCTCCCACCCACCCTCCACAGTCCAACCCTCCTCCCCAGTGTAGTCTCTGGTATCGACACCTGTCCACCTGTCCTCCCTACTGTTTTCTAATCTTTCGATTTATGCCATGTAGTGCAGACATACAGAATACACTGAGGAGGGACATAACTATGTTTGTCTTTCATAGTCTGACTTATTTCCCTTAGCATTCAATCTTCTGGATTCATCCACTTTATATTGAGTAACGGAATCTTGTTCTTTATAGCTGAGTAATAATCTATTATGCATATGCACCACATATTTTAATCCAATCATCAGTTTTGGGGCACTTAGGTTGATTCCATGACTTGGCGCTTGTGAGTAATGCTGTAGTAAATATGGATGTACAAGTGTCTTTCTGAGTTTTCCTGTTCTATGGGTAAATATCAAGGAGTAGGATTACTGGGTTAAATGGTGGATTTTATTGGTAAGTTTTTAAGGAACCTCCATATAGTTTTTCACAGTGGCTGTACTAATTTCTCACCAGCAGTGCCAGCGGTTCCTTTTTCACCACAGCCCCATCAGCACCTGTTGTTCTCAGTTTTTTTGGTTCTAGGCATTCTCACTGGGGTTAAATGATATCTTATTGTGGTTCTGATTTGCATTTCCCTAATGATAAGAGACAGTGAACATTTTATGTGCTTTTTGGCCATTTGTATGTCTCCCTTGAGAGTTGTCTTTTAAGCTTGTTTGCCCATTTTAATTGGATTATTAGTTTCTGCAGTTGAGCTGCTTGAGTTCTGTGTATATTCTGGTTATCAAATTGAGGCATAGTTTGCAAATATTTTCTCTCATTCTGTAAGTTGTTTCGTTTTTATGTTTTCAAGTAAGATTTTTGCTATAGGACATGTGTGCTTGCTAGAGAGACAGAAAGAGACAGAGAGATAGAAAACAAGAAATCACCCCCCAGGGGGAATGGCCACGCTGCAGGCCCTTCTCCTCCATTCTCCACTTGGGATTTTGGGCATGCACACACATGATTCTGGTTGAGTTTTAAGCTGCCTGGTCTGGGACTCGAACCATGGTCAACTACGTGGGAGTCCAGCGACATAACCATTACACCACCTATGGTCCCTGTAGGTTGTTTCTTCACCCCACTTATTGTTAGCTTTGTGGTGCAAAAGTTTTTTAGCTTGTTATAATCTCACTTGCCTATTTTTGAAGTGTTGCCTGTACTTTAGGGGTCTTATTCATGAAATCGCTGTTCATTCCCGTGTCAAGTGTCTCCCCTGTGTTTTCCACTAGTAGTTTTGTAGTTTGAGAGTTTACCATGAGATCTTTATCCATTTTCAGTTGATTTTCGTTAATGGTGAGAGATAGGGGGTCCTGTTTCATTTTTCTGCAGATGAATATCCAGTTTTCTCAGTGCCATTTGTTGAAGACTTCTTTTCTTGTTTGGATTGTTTTGTGCCCTTTGTCAAAAATCAATTGGCTTATGTTATGGGGTTTATTTCTGGGTTTTCTACTCTGTTCTATGGGTCCACAAGTCTGTTTTTGTGCCAGTACCAGGCTGTTTTGTTTATCATAGCTCTGTAATATGTTTTGAGTACGGAAATGCCTCCTACTTTATTCTTTTTGCACAGTATTGTTTTGGCGAGATGAGGTCTTTTACAATCCCAGACAAATTTCATGATCTCATTCCCTACTTTAGTGAAGAGCACCACTGGCAGCTTGATTGGAATCACATTGGCTTTGTAAATTAATTTCAGTAGAATCGACATTTTAATTACATTGATTCTTCCAATCCAAGAACAAGGAATGTCTTTCCATTTATTTATATCATATTCAGATTTTTTCCCCAGTTTTTCATAAGTTTTCCTTTATTATTATGATTATGATATTTATTTTTTTACTTCTTTGGTTAGGTTTATTCCTAGATATTTTATTTTATTTTTTTAAAACATTTATTTATTGTAGGGACCACCAGATGGCATAATGGTATGTTACTGGACTCCCACGTAGTGGACCGTGGTTCGAGTTCCAGACCCAGTGGCTTAAGCTTACGCCAGGCACGTGTGCGTGCCTGCCCAAAATCCCAAGAGGAGAATGGAGGAGAAGGAATTGTGGCATGGTCATCCCCCCTGGGGATGATTCCTCGCTTTCTTTCTCTCCGGTGATCGCACGTGCCTGATAGCAAAAATTTTTGTCTGAAAATAATTTTTACTGCAAATGGGATTACTTTTTTAAGTTCTGCCTCAGTCTGCAAAAATGGTATTGTTGTTTAATTTATTTCCACTCTGATTACTGAGGCTGCTCTGTTTCTTTATATGTTGATTAGCCAGGTTTTATTTGTTTATTTTATTGTTGGAGAGTATATGCGCTGTCCAGAGCACCTTCAGGGAGGGTCACACTGCAGTATGAGGGGCTGGCTCCCAGTTGAGCTCCGTCACCTCTTTCCTTAGCTGTCAGATGTATCTAATAATTTGTACGAGTTGTTTAAAGATACTTTATTATTTATGCTTTTTTTTTTTTTTTTGCTCAGTTAGTCATACGTGATCCTAATTAAAAGTCAGACAGAAATGTTAAAGCTTCATGCTGACGTAGTTTAGTGTCTGGCCATCTGCTTGCTAGGTTCCCTGTGCTCACATAATCATCCCTGGGCAGAAAATATTTTTCTTCTTTTTATTTGGAAACTCTCCCTTCTTGCAGGGCACTTCAAATTCTGTCTTCTTCATGAAGAATATCTTAAGTAAAAAAAGTGTAGATACCCATTCTGTTCCAAAAGAAGCCATTAGCAATCTTAACGCTCCCTGCTGTGGAAAAAAAGTATGCATTTTGCTATTAATTTTTCCGTGCGTGTGAATACATCTCTTACATGTTTTCTGAGGCTGTTCTCTGTTTTCAAATGTGAGTATTTAGAAATAAGTACAGACGCTCATGTGGCAGTGACGCTCACTAGCTGGCAGTAATATACACTAACTCATTGAGACATGAGTCCCCTCGTGGCACTATTTTCGTTTAGTAAGTAGTGTTTATAATTTAACAAGTTCCACTTCGCCACTTATGTGGCTTAGGAATTGTTTGGGGACCTGAGGAGATGACAGTCCAGAGGACTTTTTTTTTCTTTTCATTATTTGGTATTAGTCAAGCTGTAGCTTACTTAATAAAAATGATACACATTTATAAGCTGAATCTTGCAATAATAATCCTTAAATGTTTCTGCTTCTAGATAGTGGAAAGTCTAGAAGAAGTACAGTGGATTCAAAGGTAAGCACTAACCACTCAGGATCAGCTTTTCCGGATGTATATGTATATGGATGTGCTACGTGTACGTACTTTTATATATACACATATGTGTACACGTGCGCATGCACACACGCCTCATCTGCAGAGAGGTGTCTTCTGTTTGGGGAACTGATGCCGACATGCTGAAGCAATTTCCAAGTAAAGCAGAGTGCTAAGTTGCACAACACTTACAAGATGGAGGGCCAGGTGGGGAAGGGAGGGGGAAGCAGAGCCACCGGGCGAGACCTCTGGAAGGCGGAGGTGGTAGAAACAGCAGGGATGGAAAAATTGGGGGAAATTTTCTTTGTGATATCTTTGCTTTTTTAACCAGGGGGCATTCACATGGGAGCGTTTTGTTTTGTTTTTAGTTGCCAGAAAGCATTTGTACTTTGCCAGAAAGAGGCAGAGTAGGGAGCACCCCTGTGCCGGAAGCACACGACACGTGCTTGGTGTGTCTGTGAGGGCGCTGGAGCCGAGATGTAGACTGCAGTTGGTGTGTCTGTGAGGGCGCTGGAGCCGAGATGTAAACTGCAGTTGGTCCTGTGAGCTCTGCTCCTCTAAGCAGTAGGCTACAGGGCCAGCCTGTTTTGTTTTAATGGTTTTATTGATAGATTTTTGACATATAATAAACCTCACATAGGGACCAGCAGATGGAATAATTTATGTTGCTGGACCCCTACGTAGTCGGCTACAGTTCGAGTTGCAGATCTGACAACTTAAAACTCAAGCCAGGCGCGGATACGTGGGTGCACGCCCAAGATCCCAAGAGGAGAATGGAGGAGAAAGGATTATGGTGTGGCCATCCCCCCGGGTGGGGGGTGATTTCTCACTTTCTGTCTCTGTCTATCCAACAAGTACATGAGCTGTATAGCAAAAACGTCTCTAATTAATTAATAAACAAACCTCACATATTTAAAGAGACAATTTGATTATATGTTTGGCTTATCATTCAAGATGGTGAACATACCATCACCCCCAAAGTTTCTCCTACCGCCTGCCCCTTGGTAATCCTCCTGTCCCCAAGCGACTGCTGCTCCGTCACTGTAGTAGGAGCATTTCACACAACTTCGTGCAGATGAATTATACAGGCCACAGTTTTTGCCGTCCATTTGACCGAATTACTCTGAGTTCGTCCACAGCACTGGGTGTGTCTACAGTTGTTTTCTTCTCCTTGCCTGCCATTAGTTTATTTCACAAGTGGCAATATTTTAATCACTTGAAATCAGGAGGGAGTTCAAGTGATCTTGTCAGAGCGTGGCCCGGGTCTGCATTCTTCGTCTTACTGAAGCCTTAAGAGTAGGGTAGAAGCTTCTAGCAGTAAGATTCAGGTCGGGGTGGTGGAGGCAAGGTGTTAGTGGGAGGGCAGAAAAGTCAAAAGAGAGGTCTACGAAGAGGAAATGGGTGAAAAGACTTCCATTCTCTATGAACGGGGATTTCAAACATATCTGAAAGGATGGTGAATTTTATTTTCAGAGAGCTTACGAAGGCCAAATTAAAGGTTTAAGAAGAATTTTTAAAAATTAGTTTTACTTTTAGTTAGCATAGTTTTCCTACCAGTATCATTTTAAAATCAGATTGTTGTATCTTTTTAGGCAATGCGAGAGAAATCCTTTTCTATTCATAATAATGATGGGAAAGTTTCATTTCAGGTATGTATGCTTCATAGATTTCATCTTTACTGTGTAATTGGTGAACTTCAAAGGGAATTTAGGAAGAATACCTCAGGCATGCTGTGTATTGGTCGCTAACACAGAAGTGCTCTCTGACAGGCCCACGGGTGGATACCAGTATTCATTCTCTTCTCAAATCAGTCAGTCTTCAGAGTGAGGGACTGTGAATATCCAGGGTAAATGGTAGGGCCCGGGTTCTGACCCCGTTCTGCCCCTCTTCCCCCAGACTGTTTCCCACTCGGAGTGTGCCGGAGGTAAGAGTTCTGGACTGTTGGTGTGTCTAGGGTGATGTGGTATTGCACTGGGGTTCCGAGGCCTTGGTGACCCACTGGGGTGTCACAGTTCTTACCTGCTACATGTACTCTACAGCAGCGGTGCAGCTAACATACAGGGCCAGGGTGTCATGTGGGCTGGATCTCAGAACCTGCTCGCACTGAGTGACTCGGACAGTCAGTTCTGAACCTCATTGTTTTGTGATTTGAAAACGAAAAGCTATGAGACCTACGTCAGGGTGGATGGGAGTGTCACTTAAGTAAAAGTGCTTTGTAAAGCACTGTGCGAATAATGCTTTGTTAACTTGGAGGAATCACTGCCTCTCCTAGCTATTTTTCATTCATTCAGGTATAATTCGCACGCAGTACGATGTTCAGGCTTAGAGGTGGTTTGGTCTGTTTTGACAAAGCACGCACCCACATAATCCCATCACCATCAAGATCCTCCATGTTTTTTCCTCAGAAAGGTTCCCCACCCACAACCACTCTTCTGATTACTTTCCCTGGAGACATTTTGCTTTTCTGACCATTTTCATGTTACATTCAGTCACCGTCATCTTCATCACTGTTGACACTGACTGCTAACACTTACTGAGACTTGCAGTGCTCACTCACTCTGGGCCCTCCACCAGCTTCCTGCTCCACAGGGTCTGGCCCCAGTCCAGGTCTGACCTCGGTCCTGCTGTCCAGCTCGCTCACTCCGCTCCTGCACAGGCCGCCGTGCTCTTCCTCAAAAAGATCGTCCTGGGCCTCTGGCTGTGCCTGCAGGCCAGAACACTGGTCCCTCCGAATCCTTCAACTCCGCTTACATGTCACCTTCTCAGCAACGCCTCTTCTCATCTCCCCACTTTGGCTCCTGCATCCTGCTCTCTGTTACCCTCCCACGTGCTGTGTATAACACTTCCTTATTTCACTCACTGCCTGCCTCACCCCGCAGGTAACCCACTGGGCAGGGGCTCCATCTGTCTTATCATTGGTGCGTTCGAGACTCCTGATCTTGGGCCTGGCCATGTTAGGCGCTCCATCAGTCACTGGAGACAACAAACCAGTGTCGGGGGAGCGCTGAGAGGAAACAGCCCCTCCTGCGTGATGGTTCAGGACACGACTGAGATAGCTCGTTTGCTGCGAGAGCCAGCAGTGGGCAGATTCTTGCTTTTCTCTGGCTTCCCCTTTCCTCAGATGGAAGGCAGAGCCGGTGTCATGGTGTTCTGCCGCCCAGTGTCCTCTGAGTTTCGGACATTGCGGTCGTTCTGAGCTAGCCGGCGTCATCCACGGAAGAGGAACACTGACCGTTTATGATCTAAAGGCAAGGACACTGCCAGGGCTTATTCCAACCTGAAGCGCACATTTTGTATGGTTTTCTTTAAGGGTCAGGTGCCTGCTTTGATGGGTCATGGTGACTCTAGTGATTTTCTTTGCTTTCTTAGATTTTGCCATAGGGAATGTTGCCCTCGCAGAAGAGAGTCAGAGAGAAAGAAAGTGAGGATCCTCCTCCAGGGAGGATGGCCGCGCCATAATCCCTCCATTCTCCTGGGATTTTAAGCACGCGTGCACACGTGCCTGGTGTGATTTTCAAGCTGCCGAGTCTGTGACTCAAATCGCAGTTGGCCATTTGAGAGTCCAGTGCCTCAACTACCATGCTGCCTGCTGGCTCCTCCTTTAGTATCTTTTACATTTTTTAAAAATCTTCTTTTGACTTCCTGTGAGTCTTTTTTTTTTTTTTTT